TCAATTATGGTAAAAAATGCAAAGCAAAAAGATAATATTGTGCGTATAGAAGAAATTAGTAAGGAGGAAGCAAGAAATATTTTTCAATGGAAATATCACAAAATAACAGAAGAAGTAATAACTATTTTGGAAACTCCCCAAGACGCCTATCAAAAGAAAATTGCTTTGTTTAATTTCTTAAAAGATTTGGAAAAGTGCGGTTAGGTTTGTTTTCTAAATTATTAATATCCTGTTGGATTTGCTCTCTCTCGAAGTCGTTGTTTTAATTGTTCTATTTCTAAGGCTATTTCTTGCTTATGGGTCATATAGTTATTTATTTTAAAAATCAAAGATATTTTTTCTTATGTTTATTTTTGTTTAATTGCTTATATTTGAATGTTTTTTACATTTTCCCTGTCTTTCTTATTACCTATTAAACTCTGTTTCTCTTCTCTTTTTACTCTCTGTCGGAAATGTAAGAAATTAATTTTTTAACTATTCTTGGGGGGAAAATTATGTTTTTTTAAAAACTCACTTATAATTTTTTTTTCGTCTTTTTTTTCGTCTGGATTAACTTCCTCTTTGCCCCCCGTTTGATAATCAGGGTCAGCAGTGTCTTTGACCGGCATTAAAAATAACTTGCTTAAAAAATACTTAATAGCATAAGTTTCGGCACTGCCTTTGGCTTTGGCTAAATCCACATTACTGCCACAAGCTCAGAAATTAAATAATAACCTGCTTTCGGGTGTTTCAGTGTCAACTATTTCTAATCTTTTGACCGGTGCTAGTTTATAAGTGTGTGCAGAAGTCCAAGCAAGGAGCTGAGTTAGATAGTAAGATTAGAGATTTGCGGGAGAAGATACAGAGTTTAGAAAGAGAAAGTTGAGAGTTGGAGCGAAGTAATTAAGCTGCCAACAGTCGCAAAATAAATAATATATGTCTAAATCCCTAATCACTGGTAAAAAACAACTCACGGAAAGAATAGCTAAAAAAACTAAGTATCCGCAAAATCAAGTAATTACAATAATTGAGGAATTATTAGAGCAAACCAAAAAAGCTCTGGTTAAAGGGGAAGAAGTTAGGTTTATTGGCTACTATTCTCTAAAAACTACTATGACTAAGCCTCGTATGGCCATGAATTTACAAACTAAGAAAAAGATGAAAGTTCCTAGTAAAAGAGTGCCTAAATGTAAGTTTAGTGGGAGTTTGAAGGAAGAAATAGTGAAAAAAAAATAAATAACTCTTGATAAGAGTAAAATAAGTTAGTATTATGATAGCCAAAGCAATTAAATTAAAGAATTTAAATATTGAGCCTTTATCTGTCGCTAAGTATTTTTATGGGAAAGGATTTGAGGATTATCGGCTGATGCAAGATATGATTTATCTCACTTACCGAGAAATCTTAAAAAAAGAAAACCAAGTCTTATTCCAAGAAAAGTTTCAAGCCTGAGAAGGTGGACCAATGTTAGAATCAGTTTATCAACAAATGAAACACCATTATAAAGAACATGGAACTATGGATTGCTTATTTGAACCAGTGGAAGATATAGAAGACAAAACTATTAAATCTTATCTAACCAAAGTTTACCGCGATTATCAAACTGCTAAAAAGAAAGGTAAAGAGATTAGTTTTCTTTTTCAACCTGAGGATGAAGCCTGAGAACAAGCTCGGGAAAAAGTTAACGGAGAAAAAACTCCCCATATCTTTATCGAACCAGCCCAAATTATCGTTCTTACTAATTAATGTCCCAAATTCTTTTTGACTTTAAAGATTTAATTACTCATTGCTTACATGATGAGGAGCTTAAGTTTACTAGTGCTATTAATTAACGATTATTAATCACGTAATTTGGCATTAAATAACTTTTCTATCCTCTTGCTAATATTTTTAATTACTGTTTCTATTTCCTTATTTTCTAAAGTTTTTACAGAACTTTGAAAAATTAAGTGGAAAGACAGCGATTTTTGGCTTCTCTTTACCATTTCAGTATTTTGGTAAATATCAAAGATATTTACGGCTTGTAGGTCCTCCCCCCCAGCGTTTTTTATCTCTCTAATAACTTCATTATAATTAACCTTCTCCGGAAAAATAAATGATAAATCTTTTTCGCTCGCCGGGAAATTAGAAACCGGCTTATAAAGGGCTAGGGGTGATAATTTATTAAGATAACTAAATATCTTACTTAAAGAGATTTGTGCGACCAATATTGGTTGGTTAATTTGGTATTTTTTAGTTATGGTGGGGTGAATACAACCTAAAAATCCCACTTGCTCTTTTTTTAATAATATTTCCGCACTTTGAGCTGAATCTAAATAATTAAGAGAAGTGGAAGAAAAAGAAACTTCGGACTCTACTTGCCAAAGTCGAAAAATATTTTCTAATACTCCTTTTATTCAGTAAAAATCTACTTCGGAGGTTAATTGATGGAGAGATTGGTTAATTATCCCCCCCACTCCGCTTAAAATTAATAATTCTTCTTGTTTTTCCTGACTATACACCGAACTAATTTCAAAAAAAAAGAGATTTTTATTGCCACGTGAAAGGTTATATTTTAGCGTTTTTAAATGGCTAGGAATAAGGGTTTGCCGATAATATTGGTGATAATCATTTTTAGGTAGTAATAACCGATAAGAATCGCTGGTGGTGGTGAATTCCTCTTTCATTTCCCGCGAAATCAGAGAATAAGTAATGATTTCTTGCCAACCACAATTAGCTAAGTAAGTGCGGACTTGTTGCTTTTTCTGGCCTGTTTTCTCCTCTGCCTTAAAAGAAATTTTGCTAAAATTAGCAGGTAAAGAACTAACTATTTTATTATAATCATAGACCCTTAATAATTCTTCTAATAAGTCTTCAGAACTAGTAATATCCCGCCGCTGCGTCGGTGGAGAAATGTAATAAATATTACCTTTTTTTTGGCAAGCAAAGTTTAGTTGGCGATAAATGCTTAACATAACTTCTTCCGTGATTATCTGACCCAATTTTTTTTTAATAAAGTTAGGAGTAATAGTCAACAGCGGTATTTTTCTGGGACGAGCTTCTTTATAAGGAGCCATTAATCCGGTTTTGGGGTTCCCCCCATAAGTTTCTAAAATAAGAAAAATTACGCGTTGGAGCACCAAGGGGAGCGGCAAAACTACATTAGTTCCCCGCTGAAAATAACGGCTAGCAGTCGAAGAAATATTTAAACTCTTGACCGTTTTTTTAATGGCTTCGGCGCTAAAAGAAGCACATTCTATCAAAATATTTTTAGTAGTAGGAGTTATTGCCGTGGAGCGAGAACCAATAATGCCCGCTAAATCAATAATTTCTCCTCCCAAACCCACTACTATGTCTGCGGAGTTAAGGGCTAAGGTTGGACCCGCGAGGGGGTTTATTATTTCTAGCTGGCGGGCTTGGCGAACAATAATTTTTTTCTTAGCTGGTAAAGTGTCATAATCAAAAATATGGAGCGGTTGGCCACTTTCTAACATTACCAAGTTAGCCATATCTACTATGTTATTAATAGAACGAATATTATTTATTTTCAATCGTTCTTTTACTCAGGGCGGGCTGGCTTGGACTACCACATTTTTTATTAGACCTAAATGAAACTCTTGACAATTATTGGTAGTGATTATTACTTCCATTAATTTTCGCTTAGTGGCAGGGAGCGGCAAAATATTAAGTGGTTTAACTTGACAATTTAACAAAACTCCTATTTCCTGAATAATTCCTCATCAGGATAATAAATCGGGGCGATTAGGCAGCGGGTCAAAGGCAAGATAACTATCATTATCACAATTGACTATTTTTGTTTCCAGGCCATAATGGGTCAGTTTTTCTCCTAATTCAGCAGGAGTAATATTTGGCAAACTCAGATGTTCCGCTATGTATTTCCAAGGTATTAATAGCATCACTTTTTAATAAGGATATTTTTTTAACTGGGTGGAAGTCGGTAATGGCTGTTCCCGTAAAATCTTAACGAGAAAAAGCGAAAGCCATATTAGCTATGGCCTCTTTATGGCTGTCTTCCTTTCTTTTGAGAACTTTACCCGTTTTATTATAAGCGTTAATAATTTCTTGGGCTAACTTGGCAAACATGGACTTAGCCGAACTTTCTTCCCGGGCTCCTTCTACTAATCAGCGCAAGACTAAAATTAGAGCTCTTCGCTCGCTAACTTCTACCGGAACACGGATTTTAGCTCCCCCGCGCTTTCGGCTTTTAGTTTCTAAACTGGGTTTGACATTTTCTACTGCTCCTCCCAAAACAGTTAAAAAAGGTGAGGAAGTATCATGTTCTATTTTTTGTGCTGCTTGATAAACTATCTTAGTGGCTTTTCTCTTTTCCCCATTTTTCATTATTTTATTAATTAGTTGGCTAACTAAGGGAGAAGCAAACTTTTTATCAGGTTTTAGGGGACGTTTTTTAATTACTTTTTTTTTCCGCATTTAATTAATTTTACTAATTAACTTATATCTCTCTTATATTTATTACGACACTATGCAAATAAAATGTTAATTTTTCTTTAACCTATTTTATTAACTTTTTAAAGTTTTTCATCCTCTTTCTTTTCTCCCTCAATTTCAGGGTTCTTTTTAACAAGCCACATTACAAGACAGCAATGGATAAGCCAAGTGTGGCAAAGGCTATAAGCCCTGAACTTGGCACATTCGTCAGTTCCTCACCTTTCTCGGTTCCAATAGCAAAAAAACTTGCTGCCAAGAAAAAGAAAGAACATTAAATAAGATATCTACTCAGGAAACTCCTATTATAGAAAATGTTTCAGAATGAATAAAATGAACCAAGTCTAAAAAGATTTGTCAGGAATGTAAAGAGTTTCGGGCTGATAGTCTTAATGCGATGGATGAGAAAACAACCGAGGCGAACAAAGATACTTATTTAAAAAAAAAATACTTTGTTGTTAAATAATTAGTCAAAAATTAGATTACAAAAATAGTATATATATATGTTGACCGTAAAATTCCGTTCCAAAAAAGCCCTCCAAAAACGTTTTAAATCCTTAGCAGTAGGCAAGTTGAAGCATTGACATGCTTACACTTCCCATTTAGCCGCTAGTAAATCCACTAAACAAAAAAGACATTTGCGCAAAAGTTCTTTATTAGACAGTAGCGATTGAAAACGCCTGAAAAAAATGGTTAGGTGTTAAGGAATAATCGTCAGCCTTAGACTAAATAAATTAAATATATATATGTCATTACTTAATTCTTGAAAAATAGAAGAAATAGTTAACCAAGAAAATCCTAACAATTCCATTTTTGTCTTTCGTTATTTGGCAACCGGTATGGGAATAACGGTGGGTAATTACTTACGACGAGTGCTTGTTGATTATCTGAGCGGAATAGCCCCTTGTGGAGTAAAAATTACTGATAAAAATGGTTCGGCTAAAAGCAAGTTTAGCACCTTAGTCGGTGTGAAAGAGGTAGTGCCAGAGTTAATTTTGAACTTAAAGCAAATGATTTTAGCAGAAAAAAAAAAAAAAACGGGGATTTTTTGCTTGGAAATGAGTATTGAAAATAAAGCAAAGTCCGAAAAAATAATTACGGCGGGGGATTTTGCCTCCGAGAAAGATATTGAAATCAAAAATCCTGAACTTTATTTGGCTACTTTGGCACCTAATTCTAGTTTAGAAATCCAATTATATTGTCAAAAAAATTGGGGTTATCACCGTGCCGAAGAACAAAAAAAAGAATATTTTGCGGATGAAGAAGATATTATTTCCTTAGACACTGATTATTCTCCCATTAAAGGCGGACGAGTAAATTTCCAAAAAAAAGCCGTGGTGGTTGGTCTAGCCAAAGAAAAAGAAGAGTTAATTCTCACTATTAATACTAATGGGGCTATCAAACCCAAAAAAGCCCTGGGAGAAGCGTTAGAACTATCGCAGGAATTATTCGCTAAGATTGCTAATCTAATTAATAAAGAAAAGAAAGAAAAAATAATTACGGAAATTAAATAAATTATCCAAAAGAACAGCGGGGAGTATTGAGAAATTAGAGGTTTGAAAAACTTGGAAAGTCGTTAATTGGTTTAGTGATGAAGCTAGGAAAGAGGAAGAAGTGGTGTGATTATTGGTTGGGCTCGGCTTTTTTAATAATTCTGGGTTTTTGCTAGTTATCAGTAAACCAAGGAATAACCATAGCAGTTTAAAAGGAGGACTTATTAATTTACCCAAAATATTGCCCGTTTTTTTATTCTTTGTCATTAACAGATAAGTGATCATTAATCCAATAATGATTTCTCCAACTACTCCCAACCCTATCCACAAAGTCCAATTAGTTGGTCTTTTGTTATTATTTTCGTTAGTTGTTTGTCCTTCTAGAATTTTTAACTCTTCTTTTTTATTTCTTAATTTTTGTTCTTGAGCTGCTGTTTTATTGCTGATATTCTCTAATTGCTGAATTTCCTTTTTTAAATTGGTAATTCTTCTCTCTACTCTGGTCTACTTCTTGTTTATATTTGTCTTTACCTATATTACGAATTGTTTTCAAAAAGGAATTTTAATAATTTCTAAATCATCATCCATCATTATTACTGTAAACCTGCTTGGTGGTTATTACAACGAGAGCCACACGGGTTAATTATTTGGTAAGAAGTGGCGGTAAAGGATTTTCTATCTGAGTTATTAGTAGAGCTAGTAGAAAGTGTCTTGAACTGCTAAATAAGAACCTTTTTTAATGGGAGGTTTGATTCAACTTCCCGACTTGGCAAACAAGTTTAATTCGGTCAAACAATTTTTATTTCAACATCATTTTCGGTAATACTTGGCTTCCAGAGTTCTTTGACAAAAAGACACTAGTTTATTTTTTAGTTCATAAGTTCCAATATAATTGGGGTTGAGGAAATCATGAAATTTACTTTTCATTAGGTCTTTAATTCTAAATACTACTGGTATATCTTGCTTTTGTCCTTCAACTTTTAAAAATACTCGGGCTGGATAAGGACTTTGTCCTCGGGTTTTACTACCTTTGGGGGCTTGTTGAATTTGGAAGTGGTTATCCCTCTGATTTTGGTTAGTAATTTTTCTACTGTTTATTTTTTTAATTTTTTCTTCGTTTTCTTGGTCTTAGTAATAGTCTCTAAGGAGAACAGTAGCCCAGCCACAAAATTAAAACTTCCTGCTGGCAAAATTTACAGATTAACTTGGCTTTTTTTCTTTTTTCTACTTCTTCTGGTTCTTGGCTAGTAGGAACCTCATTGCTGTTAGCAAGCTTATCTTGAGAAGTTTTATAACTTTCTTTTAATTTGTTAGTTTCTTTTTATGTCATATACTTTTGGTTGGTATGTAGACAGAAATTTAAAGTTAAAGTAAAGAAAAAAGTTAGTTAAGTCAACTTCACATAAAAATATTAATATGGTATTTTCGGACCCAGTTGCTAATATGCTAACCGCTATTCGTAATGCGAACCTGCGGGGTTATCGCACCGTAATTTTTCCTTATTCGGCATTTAAATGGCAAATATGTAAGAAATTGCTAGAAAATAATTTTTTTTCCCAGTGCTGATTCGACGAAAAAAATAAGAATATTAAAGTTGATATTAAATATTTGAACCAATATAGCCGCCTTCACCAAATAAAAAAGATTTCTAGGCCTTCCCAACATATTCACCTAAAAATGAAAGAGATAAAAAAATATTGTCAGGGTCACAATACTTATCTTATTTCTACTTCTTCTGGATTATTAACCCACCACGAAGCCTTAGCCAAAAATCTTGGAGGTAAGGTTATCCTAACTGTTAATTAGTAAAATATTAAATAATAAATATGAAAATAAAGATATGGCAGAAAATAAAATTATATTTAAAATAACACAAAATTTTAACGAAACAGGAATAATTGAAGTGGAAGTTGAAAGTTTAAACTTTCCTACTAATAAAGGTAATAAAACAATTACGAAAATATTTTTTGACGGACAAAAGAAAGAGGAAATGAAAAAGGTGCTCAAAGATAAAAAAGCATTCCAAACTTTCCAATTGACTTTTAATAGCGAGAATGTAAAAGTGGAAGAAAGCGGTAATAATTTTGTTGCTTCCAAAGGCAGTGATAATAGTGTGAAAAAATCAGGAGATAATAATTCTAATTTGTTAATAGCAGCAGGACCAGTAAACCAAAATAATGAGTTAATTGTGGATGGAGAAAGATTAAGAGTGCTTTATAATTCTGGTGATGCCATAAAATTAGAAGCAGTAGAAGCCAAAGCTGGTGAGGATTCCAAAGCTGGTGAGGATTCCAAAGCTGGTGAGGATTCCAAAGCTGGTGAGGATTCCAAAGCTGGTGAGGATTCCAGCACGCCCAATCCGACTGACGAACTCAAAAAACCAACTCAGTCTGAGATTAGCACAGCTAATGACAAGTTAAAATCCGCTACCGAAAGTGGTAATAAAGACGAATTAGTAAATACTCTTAAAGAAACCAGAGAAACTACTAATAACAGTTCCGACGAAGATTTGAAAAAAAATAAAGAGGCCGCCGAAAACAAATTGGGTCAAATTGATAAAGCCGCTTTCGCCAATGTGGTTAAGGAGGAAATAGCCAGCGAATTAGAAAAAAATGGTATAAAATCTGACGAATTAAGTTCGGAAATTAAGCAAAAATACGACGAATTGAATAATAATAATAATAATAATATTGAACCCGAACAAGCCAAACAAATAAGAATCGAAGTTTTAAACGACGCGGGAGTAAAAAAATTAGACAAACTAGTTCAAGAGGTTGAAAATGCTATAAAATCAGGCAATAAAAAGAAAATTGCCAGCAAAGCCAAAGAATTACGACAATTTACAGAAAATAATGCTGCTTACGCCAAGTATGCTTACGACCAGAAAAAAGATAAGGTTCAAAAATTATTAGCCAAAGCCAAAAAGCAGTCAGACCAAACCAATGAAAAAGATGGATTTTTCCGTCCTAATAATCCAGTAATGTGGTTGTCAGGAGTGGCAGTAGTATTCGTGGTAGTATTAATTTTTCGAATTTTCCTCCCTCGTTTTAGAGAATAAAAATTAAAAAAGCCAGCGTAAATAAAAGACCAAAACTAAAAAATTAATAATGTTATTAAAAATCCTCCTGTGAGTGTTGTGAATAATAATTATAATTTGTTCTTTTTTCTTTGGGGAAGAAGATAATTTTTCCCCTTCCCGAGAAAGTAAAGAAAATATTTATAAAGCCACCCATTTTACTAAGTTGACTAAGTTTATCCGTAATATTTATATTGTGTTAATAATCGTGTTTACCGCCCTTACTTTTTTCCTCCCTTCTTTATAATTAGTAAAGAAAAAATCTCGGCGGGGGGAAAGAAAAAGTTTATTTCTCTTTCGGCAGCGTGGGGACTATCGGAGCCATGAACCGCGTTAGCGCCTATGCTAGCACCATAAATCTTTCTAATAGTTCCGACCTGGGCTGCTTGCGGATTAGTAACACCCATAATTTCTCGATTAAGTTTTATGGCGTTTTCTCCTTCTAAACACATAATCACTACTGGTGCACTACACATAAAATGAACCATATCCGCAAAAAAAGGTTTGGCTTGGTGTTCTTGATAGAAATTTTGGGCTTGGGGGAGAGTTAAGCGCAACATTTTCATGCCCACTATTTTTAGTCCTTTTTTTTCCAATAAAATAATAATTTCTCTCTTTGTTTTCCAAACTGGCTTCTCAAAATTTCCTAAAATCAACTTCTCAATAAACAGGCTCACTAATA